GGGCTGGCTGGCATGTGGTGCTGGGGATTGAACCGTGGTCCCTGTGCTTTGCAAAGCTTGTTCTAAGTAGGTGCTTTAGACCACTGAGCCATCTCACCAACCCGAAATGCTTTTTCTTAAAGCAAACCAGTAACACACATTTCACTCTTTCTTTACTCATTTTTATATATAGATTTTTTTGGTACAAAGGACTGAACTTAGGACCCTGCACTTGCCGAACAGGCACTTATACCACTGAGCTATCTCTCTGCTCAAATCTTTATTTTTAAAATGCATGTAGTACAGGGTCTACACAGACCTGACTCAGGCACACACCACCACGCCCAGTCTCCATCACTGCTTTCATTGTGCCCTGGGGGCAGGGCTGGCCAGGATTGAACCCTGGTCCCTGCTCTGCCTAAGCAAGCACTTTAATCCGCTGAGCTATCTAGCTGGCCCTTCCTGGCTCACATGTTTAAAATAAAAGTAATAAAATTAAAAAAAAAAAACAAAAAAACTTTTAATTTAGAACACTGTTTTTATTGATATTGAAACAGGAACTCTATGTATTATTCTAGGTTGGCCTCAAGTCTGTGGTGATCCTCCTGCCTCAGCCTCTCAGTGCTGGGATTATACGCATGCACCATCACACCCATGTTATTTTTAAATTTTTTTTGGTGGAACTGGGGATTGAACTCAGGCCCTGGCGCTTGCCAGGAAAGCACTTATTCCATTGAGCCATCTCCCTGGCCCCCATGCCCGTGTTATATTACAGTAAAATTACATAATAAAGCCCATGACATTAAAAATGTGGAGTATTTGTGGATTTCTCATTTAGTAACAGATGAAAAAAATCATAACTTGGGCTGCCATGAATTAGCTTAATCATGCCTCAAAGTCCTCATAATGAAAAAGAGAACAAACAGTACGGCAGAATGATGTGGAACTCCACACCCTAACCTAGGAAGTCCCTGCCAAATGATGAAAATCAATCCCAGTTCCAAGGAAAAAAAACCTCATGGGTTTCTATTACCTATGATCCCTACACCAATTTGTACCAGTGCTGTAGCACTGTCAGCTGGGGCTATTTTAAGCAAAGGGTAAGAGTCAGCAGACCAGAGAGGATGTGGAAGTACTGGTCTTCTCACTGAGCCAAAATGGGTCACAAATACCCTCTTCCAGAGGTCAGTAGTTGTCAGTGAGCAAGAGACAGACAACTGTCTGTCCTCTTTAAAGTGTCTAGGACTGAAAACTTCAAAAAAGGGATCACAAAGAACCTCCTAATGAAACTCAACTCATGTAAAGCCCTCCAACCATGGCCTGGCTTAACTGTAGTATTAGAGGAGCAAATGGGTCTCTGATCATCTAAATACTCGGAAACACCCAGGCCAATGACAGTGGGGCCTTTCAGGCATCAGTTTGTTTAATACCACTGCACAGGCTACAGAAGCAGGTGTAGACTACCAAGCAGTTCTGATTACTCATGGTGCATATTAGAAATAATTTCAGGAGTGTTTTCAAGAGCTAATTTCTTGCCTCTATAGCACTGATCTCGTTTATTTCCTAAAAAAAAAAAAAAAAGACTTATATTCAAATGAGAATACTGTTCTTTCAAAACTATGCACAGGAACTGGGTGTGGTGGTGCTAAATTATAATCCCAACACTTGGAAGGCTGAGGCAGGAGGATTACTATGAGGTTGAAGCCAGCCTGGGCTACAAAGTGAGATCTTGTCACAAAACAACACAAAACAAAACAACGTATGCAAAAGTCACCTAAATGTATAGTCTACAGCAAAGATCTGAAATCTTCTGTTAATACTGTGTATTTGCTACCAGTCATGGGGTATGAACTCTGCTGGACTGACTTACTGTTTATCCTGTAGTTTGCATACCATATTAAGAATTTATACTATCTGAGCCAGGTGTGGTGGTGCACACCTGTAACCTCCCCACCTGGGAGGCTGAGACAGGAATATCACTGAGTGTTTGAAGCTAGCCTGAACTACATAGTGAAGTCAGTCTCCTAAAGAAAAAAAGAATTTATTTATAGACAGGGTCTCAATATGGAGTTCAGGCTGGCTTTGTGTGCACCTTTGTAGCCCCCAGGCTGGTCTTGAACTCGCAGTGATCCTCCTGTCTCTACCTCTCCAATGCTAGGATTATAGGCATGCCCTGCCATGCCTGTTTCTGGGCTGATCCACATGACCAGCGTTCTGTGGCCCCAGCATGTGGGGCTGGAGATTGAACTCAGGACCTTGTGCATGCCAGGCAGGCACTTAAGTCGTTGAACTATCTCCTTAGCCCCCCAAAACAACTGATACTACTTGCCGATATTTATTTTTTAAATAACTTTAAAAAAAATTTATTTATTTATTTGTGTGTGTGTGTGGCCAGCTCAGCCCACCAGGGGGCGGGGCTGGCTGGCATGTGGTGCTGGGGGATTGAACCGCGGTCCCTGTGCTTTGCTAAGCTTGTTCTAAGTAGGTGCTTTAGGCACTGAGCCATCTCACTAACCCCAAAGATTGAGTTTTTTTTTTGAACCAGGGATTGAACTCAGGACCCTGCACTTGCCAGGCAAGCACTTATTCTACTGAGCTATCTCCCTGGCTCCTGGATATAGTCTTTACTAGTAACTGGATCATAGACCTACTTTTATGTTTTTTTGTTGTTTTTTTAAAGACTCTGGCTAACCTACTAAGTAGCTCAGGCTGGCCTCAAACTCAAGGTAATACTCCTATCTCAGGTCAAGTGATTATAGGTGTATAACCACAACCAAAACAAAACTCCTGAGCACCATGCCCAGCAATGGGACTACTTCTTGACTCTATGATGCTACCCTCCTTCCAGTACAGTGTACTATCGTTAAGAATACCAAAGATTAAAGTACAATTCTATTAACAGTTCGGTTTTCAGGAAAAAAAACCCTAAGTTTCTTTTGGGCTTAGCAGAGTAAAAACAATAGCTTCCTCCTGCCCCCAAAATATGCTCCCAAACCAGAGCACTCTATTTCAGTGAAAGACCTCATTTTGGCCCTTGGATGGTACCATTTCATTGCTAAATGGAGAATACTTTTGTGGTGTGGTCCAGGACACCAGTGACAATTGTAAGAATACAATACACTTTAATAGAGTAACTACGTCATAAATTCTGTAAGTATACAGAGTTGCTACTTCCCTTACACCTGAGGCTCATGCAGTATGGAATTTACAAGTGCAGAATATAGTCTTACCTTGCAGGTGCAGTAGCTGCTGGCTGCTGCCCATAGGTTGGGTAAGCAGGCTGAGTGCCGTATGCAGACTGAGCTGCATAAGAAGCCTGGGTGGTGGTGACTGTAGCAGTGGTGGTATCATAAGCACCAGTGCCATACCCCTGGACAGGTTGGCTATATGCCTGGGGGGCAGCTGGAGTAGTATAACCTAGAACCAAGAAGAACCAGGTCACATTTCTGGTCACCTCAGGGATCTGCCTAGATACTTTTTCATTAACAAAATGATTTACAAATCACTCACTTTAAACCATTATGAAATTTAATCCTTTTAATTATTTGCCCTTCAGTCATAGTAATACAAACCAATACTAGAAGCCTAAGGTCTCAGAAAATACTAAGTTTTTAATACAGTACTATCTTATTTATTTTTTTTCTTTTGGCAGAACCGGGGACTGAACTCAGGCCCTTGCGCTTGCCAGGGAAGTGCTTATTCCTCTAAGCCATCTTCTTAGCCCCTTATTTGCTTTATTTTATCTCTTCTTTGCTTTTTTTCTGTAGTTAGTACAGTGTCTACAGGGTCTCACTATGTAGATCAGACTTGTCGTGATTCTCCTGTTTACAGCCTCCCAAGTGCTAGGATTACAGGCACGCTCCACAACGCCCAGTCTCATTTGCTATCTCAGTGTGCCCCTGGGGTGGGGCCTGCATGGCAGGCCTGAGGATTGAACCCCAGTCCGAGTCTGCCTAAGCAGGCACTTTAATCTGCTGAGCTATCTGGCCAGCCCTTTTATTTGGTTTTTGAGACAGAGTCTTGCCACGTACTTTAGGCTGACCTCAAACTCTCAGTGACCCCTGCCTCAGCCTCCTGAGTGCTTGGGAACAGGTGTGGCTATTTCACAGTTTAAACCTATATATAAATGGGAGGAAGAACATGCTATAAAAAAGCCATTACTGGGGCTGGGGAAATGGCTCAGTAGAATAAGCGCTTCCCTGACAAGCACAAGGGCCTGAGTTCAATTCCCAGTTCCGCCAAAAATAAAAATAAAATAAATAAATAAAAATAAAAGCCATTACTAAACTTTCTTCTGTTCCCTCGTGAAGACATTCAAAGGAAACAAATTTGTATTTTGCAAACTCTGTCAGATTTCCTTAAATCTCTCAAGTAAGATGTTTAAGTACCTCAAAAAATCTTCAAGTAGGAAACAATGTACCAGAAGAGGGCAAAAGGCAAATAACATGGTATTACAAAATACCTAAAAAATAATGATCTGGGTCGAGATGGGTTTAAGCAATAAACTCTTAAACTTTGAGTAGTAATTTTTACTTTCAGTCCCAAACACTGTACCATGGGCAGTTCACATTCAAGAAAACTGGTTTTAGGGAATATGTATGTCACCTGCCTTGGGAGATATTAACATGCTATGTAACATTCTAAAAACTAATTTTGTTTCAAGTAATAACCAGGGGCCGGGGAGATTGCTTATCAGAATAAGCACTTGCCTGGCAAGCCCGGGGTCCTAAATTCAATCCCCAGTTCCGTAAAAAAAAAAAAAAAAAAAAAAATCAACAATAACTAAAATGTATGTATCAGGTTGGTTATGGAGTTACTTAGCTCCATTCTTCTTACCTAAAGAAGGCAAAAGGAGCCTTTCCTTATTAGAGTTGTAATCTAGTCTCTTTAGTACTTTTCCAGGTGTCACAAAGGCCTGCACTTAGGAGTATGCTGCAGACCAGCAAGATCACAGCTTTTTACTTTGGGATCTGGGCATGACCAAAATTCTAAGTCCATAGCTGTTAGGTCTTGTTCTGCAGAGGTGTTATACCCTTTACTAGTACTGAGCCTCTTTGGCTCCCTTCAGGCACTAAGCCATAAAACTTTAGCCTTGATCTCAACATTTATACTCATCAAATATCCTATTTCATTAAAATAAAAATTTAGTCTTTAAAAATAAATATTGGGTTAAGATTGCTCATTATAGTTAATATTTAGGGCTTTAAGCTTTAGTCAGAGTAAAGTACCCTCACCAAACACAAGCTAAACAAAAACAAGATGAACTTTTTTCTGTGCAACATAAAATGTCACCTTTTCTTCCCCCCCAGTACCAGGGATTGAACTCAGGACCCTGCGCTTGCCAGGGAAGTGCATATTCTACTGAGCTATCTCCCTAGCCCCAAGTGTCGCCTTTTGTAGCAGAATATTTCCTTTTCCATCTCAAACATTAAAAATTATTTTTAGGGGCCGGGGAGATGGCTCAGAGGAATAAGTGCTTCCCTGGCAAGCACAAAGGCCTGAGTTCAATCCCTGGTTCTG